ATATAATTATATTATAGTGTTGATAGTATGCAGGCAAGTTTACACAGCCTTTCAGATATTCTAGTTCCAGACCATTTAGAGTCTCTGTCAGGTATTCTGAGAATGTGTGTTCATGAAAATGCAATTGTTTATTTCTTCTGCAACTCAATCTTTTCCACATGACAGTTTTTAGGAGAGTTGGACTCCAGCTCCCATAATTTCCAGACAGCATAGGCAATGACTATTCAAATTATGGAAGTCCTGCAGATTTTCAGCCCATAAGTTTGATGAAAGTTGTGGTAGACCAATAGCGTTTTTGCTGTCTCTTGCCCCATCCTTGGACTTTGTAGTGTATAAGGAGGGCGAACGGCTACTTTATTAAATACAAACTGATCTGAGTGACAGAAGTTTATACAGAATCTTTTGTGGACGCTTCCCAAGTAAGCTATTTTCACATAGATATAAAAGATTTCAGAGTTCTGACAATTGATTTATATATCTATCATTTGTGACTTGATTTTTCAGTGATGTACCTCTGTGCTTTGATCAGTTGTTCCACCACTTCCAGCTCTTCATGGCCCAATGTAACTGCTTCTTTGAGTTCTTGTAAGTTCCTGCTTGTATCATCAGTGATAGTATCAACCCCCCTTGTATTTTGTTAACTTCTTTTTCCACTGACTTTAATTTTTCCAAGCCTCAGGGTCTTCCCTACAGTAGTTACTCTTGCCTTTGCATTATGTATGCAAAATATTTAAGCTTTAGCTACATTAATGCTTCTAGTGAGCAGTCTGGTTTTACTTCACCTAATATTGAATTATTTGTTCTTCTTCAAAGACAGTCCAAAGTTTTCTCAATAAATTTCCCTAGCACCACAGTTCAAAGGCATCCATTTTCCTTCATGAAGTCTTTCTGATGCTCCACCTTTCACAGCCATATGTTACAGCTAGAAAAACCCATGAACTCAACAATGTGCACCTTTGTCAGTGTGATGCCTCTGTGCTTTAATATCTGAATAGATCTGCCATAATCTTTCTCCCATGTAGCAAATACTTTATTTCATGGTTACAGCCACCATCTCTGTGAATTTTTGAGTCTAGGAAGATAAAGTCTGTTACCACATCAACTTCTCCAGCTATTTGTCTAGGGATGGCATTGCCTGTTAGCACATTCTTCTTGATGATCTACCTCCTGACTGTAGAATTATTGTCCTTTTCTTGTTTCAGGTATGGATGGATGCAGGTACTCAGATCTTCTTTTCGTATGCGATCTGCCAAGGATGCTTGACAGCTCTTGGCAGCTACAACAAATACAACAACAATTGTTACAGGTAGAAGTAAAACATCACCTTTTAATTTCTGTAGACTTTTAGCATTTTGTAGTGTCAGTCATTGTGGCCTGCCCACCTGTGCTCTTAATCCACTGAATTTTTTAATACATGTTTCCTTGTGGCCTGACAATTCTTCTGGAATGGTTCAAATCATTGCAGTTCAGTCCCCTATCCTCTTGCCTGCATCGTGTAACAATCATTTACTTATTTCTATCTAATATATATCTCCTAATATATTTTATACATTTTGCAAAGGCAATCTAGCAACAAGACATGATTTGATGTTTGCTTTCTATGCATGGATTTGTTCTGGTCCAATGATCAATATTTCTAAGAAATATATTTTAAGTACATATATGTATCTGTGTGTCTATGGAGTCTCTTTCTCAGAGTTCCTCACACATACACGCACACACACACACTCACACACACCTGAAACTGTCTTATACTGAGTCATAAATTTTTCCATTTATCTCATAATTATCTACTTTACTCTAATTGGAAGCAGTTCCCCAGACTCGTGGGCAAAGTTCTATGTGCAGATACCAGGGACCGAACTGGTATTTTCACTGCTATAAGTCCTATGCACTACAGTGAAGGCCAGCAAGCTATTTAACATATAGGCTTTTTGTTCAAATAATATAGTAACAATTTACCCAAACAATGCCTTCCAAAAACAATAAGTCAGGGGGAACAAAGCAAACATTTAACAATAATTAAGGGGGAACAAATAACAACAACAACAAATTATTTATTACTAATTACTAAATTACTAGCTTCAGTGCATCTTCAGTATTGGAAGAATGTCTGAAGGACAGTGAAGAAGTTGCACTGAAGCTAGTACACCATGAAGGCTTACTGAATACTGAAGAGACCAAATTGTCCTATAAGAAAGACCAAATGAAGAATAGAAAAGAGACATGGGGAGGCAAAGTATTGCATGGCCAGTACATGCACAGACACACACACACACACACACACACTAGCAGGCAAAGCAGATAACACCAAGACCTAGCAATGGCTAAGACCAGAAAAGTTGCAGAAAGAGACAGACGGGCTAATTCTGGCTGAAAAAGACAAAGCCTTAAAAACAAATGCATACAAAACCAGAATTGAGAAGACAGCAACAGACAGCAAATGCTGCCTCTGCAAAGAAGGTGAAGAAACAGCGGACCACCTAGCCAGCTGCTGCAAGAACATCACACAGACTGACTACAAACAACGGTATAACAAAGTAGCAACAACGGTGCATTGGAATATCTGCAACAAATACCATTTGCCTGCAAGCAAGAACTGGTGGGACCACAAAACAGACAAAGTAACAGAAAAGGAAGAAGCTAAAATGCTCTGGGACTTTAGAATTCAAGCAGACACCTGCCACATAACACCCCAGACTTAACAATTGTTGATAATAAATTCAAAAAAGTCTGGATAGTGTACACTGCAATACCTGGAGACAGCATGCTGGCTGGGGAATTCTGGGAGTTGAAGTCCACACATCTTAAAGTTGCCAAGGCTGAGAAACACTGCTGTATGGTATGGATGCACAAACTTCTCCAAAGGAATGTGGAACATGCCAAGGGCATATATGTATGCAACAAGGGAGAATGCCACAATAGAAGCAGAAAGAATGTCCAAAGCATGTCCAGATCTTCAATCACATTTTTATGCTATGCAGTCTATTAAGCTGGGCAGTGGCCAGCAATGCAGCCCAGAGGAGGCAGGCGAGAAAGGGCCAGATGCTGGACTGCTACCAAGACTGGCCCAATGCTTCCATTGTCCTGGAAGCCCAGAAATCCTTGTTGTTTGTGTTATTACTAAGCTATTCCTCAAAGCTGTATTCTGTTTTACACTGATTCTGTAAGTGCTGCTTTGTATAATTCAATTTCTCTCTCTGGAATTTTCAACAGGGATTCCTTTATGCTCTGTTTCCTGAACAGTGCTACAAGCTTTGTGGCTGGCTTTGCCATCTTCTCTGTATTGGGTTTCATGGCACAGGAACAAGGTATCCACATTTCAAAAGTAGCTGAATCAGGTAAGGATTTGATGTCTGCAGAAGGAGATAGGCTAAATATAAACTATGGTCTATATCTTAGGAACAGGAGCCGTAGCTTAGACATAGGACTGTCTTTCCCAACCTTTCTCCTTTGGTCATGCTGGCTAGAATTATGTGACTATAGCAGCCCTGGAAGATGTTAAACTGGGGAAGGCCACTCTTAAGAAGAACCATATGAATTCTCTACAGGATGGGTAGAGAAATCCTCTTATTTCTGATTTTGCTGGTGTTCTCCATGTTCATTTGGTTTTGTCTCCCATATCAGGAAGGCACTAGACTGAGAACATAGATAGCTCCTGATAACAGTGTATTTGTCTATCTTAATCCAGTAAGCATGTTTGATAAGGCAGGAGCTGAAAACTAGTGGTTCTTTGCATGAATTCCCATTCAACTCCAATCATCATATCCAATGGGATAAAGTTTAACAGGACTTGTGATTTGGTAACTATTGAAGAGATGCAGGTTCCTCACCTTAAGCTAATAAAACACTGGTTTGCTTCTTTTTGTTTGATTGACAGGTCCTGGCCTAGCATTCATTGCTTACCCCAAAGCAGTAACCATGATGCCTATATCTCAGCTGTGGTCCTGTTTGTTCTTCCTTATGCTGATCTTCTTGGGGCTGGACAGTCAGGTATGATGATTTTTTTTCTTAAATCCCTCTAATTTATCCTTAGTTCCATCTAAGTTGAAGAATGTATTATATCTGTATAGCTTTGTATGTATTCTATCTTGCAGAAGAAATGCAATTTCGTTCTTGGAAGGAAAGAAGCCCCATGAATAAATGATACTCAGCATTGATTGCTTATATAAATTGAGAGAGTAGATAGGAAACTATCACCTGAACCTAGATGTAATGCAACTCAGATGTACAGATTGTTAGCAGTACAAATGCAGATGTAAGATCTGTTGTGATAGGTTCTTTCACCATTTCTTCTTTGAAATGATCTGTTTTTTCCCCAAGTAGCTCCTAAGAAAGATGAGCAGCTAAATTGGCAAAGGGTTTACTCATATATTCATTATGATACATGTGGCCACCAGGCATATAAAGTCAGTGGATGGCTTGTTATGCTGACCATTGATCCTTTTAGCTATATGCTGTTCTTGAGGCTTTTGGGTGCTCCAGCAGAGTTCTGTATCCAGACTTTTAACAGAAAATCCTAGGAATTGGAGGCCCTCTGTAAGCAAAATTTATGGTTCCTCCTACCACTGAGTTCATATGAACCTTTCATGTGAATACGGAGAAACCTTGGTTTTGCCTGTCCTACAAGACTCATGTGCGTGTATTCTCACAGGAAGGATTCCACTCAAATCCCATCTGGGGGATGTTATTGTGAATGATGGGAAAATCTCTGGCTTGTAGCAATATATCACAAGCATAATCCAGCATGCGTTGAGAAATGCACAGGCGCTAAAATTGCTACAGGAAGCTCAGGGCTAGCAAAGAAAGAAAAGGAAAGAGAGAGGAAGAAAGATAAAGAGATAAAGAGTTCACAGAGGGAAGCTTTGGAATTTGGTCTTCTGACATACTTTCTTCCATAGTTTGTCTGTGTCGAGAGCTTAGTGACTGCCATTGTTGACTTGTTCCCGGAAATCTTCCGTAAGAAAGGACGTAGGGAGCTGCTGATCCTTGGCATTGCTGTGATCTGCTATCTGATTGGCTTGCTGCTCGTCACGGAGGTGAGAAGTGGTGGTGGGGGGGGAAGAGACAACTGCAAAAGACATGCTACTACTGTGATATTAGCAACTATCCTCCAACACTTCAGCCCATCTGATTAAGTTATCAAAATGATCATGAGGCCACAAAGTGCATTCTATTTACATATGTTCCTTCTCTTCCCTTTCCCCAGTATTCGTCCCTATTTTTCTGGCACCTTTCCTAAGAAATCACAGATCCCATATTGTGCTTGCTTTTAGAAACTGTTCTTGGGTTGTAATTATCATCCGCCCCAGGCAGTATAGCCAAGATTTAGGGATACTAAGTCTTGTAGTCCAATGTCTAGAAGACCACACATCATATATCAACTTTCTTTTACCTCCTTTCCCCCAAGTTCTAGAAATGAAATTTAAGAATGACTATATCCTGGCTAATTCATATGCATAAAATATATGGAAGCATACATGTGCACAGCTGCAATTTGAACTTGTTCAACACATGAACAATTTTTTTTTAAAATTACGGCATTTTTGTCTCCCCACCTTTTAAAGCCATGACCAGACTACATGGCTCATTATTTCTGATTGCTACTCAAAGTAACAAGTGTGCTAGTTGGCTTCCTTCATAGCTACTTATGTAGCTAGCATAACGTGCTTAAGTTGCAGAAGGTCTAAAATCAGTACAGTCATTGTGATATTATTTTTTTAATTAAACCTTAGAAATTGAACTTTTATGATCAATTAATTATAACCAGTATAGAAGAGCCTAGTGCAGGTAAAGAGATTCAGTATCCAGGACATGAAGAAATGTTTTAATTAAAGAGTAATAGTGGGTAGAGAGACAGCTACAAAGACTTGAGATCTATTATCCTTACCTCTTACTCTTATCTTAGGGTAGGCAGGAGAAAGAGCTGAAGGAGGGTGGGATGAAGCCATGATATCAGGAGAAGAAGACAAAAGGGAGAGGAGAGGAGAGGAGAGGAGAGGAGAGGAGAGGAAGGCTGCCACAAAAGTTATAAGTGTATAGATGGATGCTAATAGAATATATCAAAGTATCAACAGAAACCTAACATCAGTCCTAAGGAAGCAATCTGCAATACTTGAATAAACTAAATAATTATCTTCAGCTGTCTATTATATAACTACATCAACCAATTAAGTTCCAAAAATACTAAGAATGCTTACTGAAGTTGTGTGAGACCAAGATGGACACCGCTGGTTCATAGGAGAAAGCCAAGTTGTATGGAGAAGAAGGCAGCAGAGGGTCTTGAGGAAAATAGAGATAGCTCTTAAATCTTGGGCAGCTTCAGGAGGCCTTGATTGCTTGCTGTAATTGGTTACAGTGCCCAGCTATAGCCTCTGACCTGAGTAGGACCTGATGTCCCTCAGAATCATGACCTTCAGCATGGAACAGGTTTTCAAAGACTGCATTTGAAAAATAATCTTGAATAATATGGCTTTCTACTGGGATTGTTCTCTCCTTAAATCAAGAGTTATGACACCCTCATTTTTTTTCCTGGACAGCTAATTCACAGTTTCCTCAGAGATATTTGCTCGGACATCAGCGTCCCTGAGGTCTGGATGGGGTTTGGCAGCTGGTTTTCCTCCATATGCAATATGCTAGTTGTACTTCTTCTAATGCTTCTTTTTCTTGTTGCTTGTGTCTCAGCTGCAAGTCCAACTCAGGACTGTGGAATTGGAGACAATCAGAATGTCTCAGAAAGCCTAGCCATTTGTGTCTTCCAAACCTGGCTAGAGTTGACTGAATGTTAATCTGGGCTGGGGAAGACAAGAATTTGAATCTTGTTCATCCATAACATTAATATGTCTTGGGGAAATACTGTCTCCCAGGGGCACTCTGCTTTGTTTAGGGTCTCCGAGTGGATATCGTAGAGTAGCTATAACATTCTATCCTGATTTTTGGAAAATAAGACCATATGTAGGGTCAATGGATAAAAGCCATTTATAAAATGCTTATGGATCTTTAGTGGTTGGGAGAAGAGGAGTAGACCTCAGGCAAGTGATTAGACTGCCAATCTATGAATACATTCCTAGGCCAAGAGGACTTTTTTAAAAAAAAAAAAAGTCCAGGTTTTGTTGCTTGCTTTTTGTTCTAAAGCTAAAGCAAGAGTTTTTCTGCTCATTCTTTGATTTATATAGCATAACATCAGAAACAATATATATGTTTGTTGCTTTGGGTTCTGACCATTTTGCTTTGTGCCTCTTGTAGGGTGGAATGTACATCTTCCAGTTGTTTGATTATTATGCAGCCAGTGGCACATGCCTTCTCTTCCTTGCCATCTTTGAAGTTATCTGCATTGCGTGGGTTTATGGTATGTAAAGCATGCAATTCAGTGCAGGCAACTTCTGATGCAGAGATGTTGAGATTGTGTTGCTCAGTTGCTGCCTGGGAATTCTGAGAATTGTAGTCCAACATATCTGCAAGGCATCAGGTCCATACAAATGTGATTTTCCTTTGTTTTGATCAGCCTCTTTGTACCTCACCTTCTACCTCCCGTTTAACTATGCCTATTCCTATCCTTTTAGTGGGCTGGATCTGCTGGTGCACAGACTTTTCTATTCATACATTAGTAAAATACAACTTCTGTCAGCTTGTGATACATTTGGACAAAGGGTTCCAAACCCTAAATTACAAAATCATCATCATCATCATCATCATCATCATCATCATCATCATCATCATCATCATCATC